TCTCTCATGGTACAATAGAACGAATCATTCATGACTGTTTAAAGATGAGAAAAGTTACGTCACGTTGGGTTGCTCATAAACTCAGTGACGAACAAAAGCAACAACGACTTAGAATTTGTCGTCAAAATCTAGCAAAATTTCGGAGTGGAAAATGGAGATTATCTGATATCGTTACTGATGATAAGAGATGGATTTATCATAGGCAGATTGGTCGAAAGTCAAGTAATGCTACATGGATTAGTGGAAATGAACTGCCAAGAACCGTTATTCATCGAAATAAATCTGAACCCAAATCATTGTTTTGTTTATTCTTTAAATCAAACGGTCCTATTCTTATACATAAAGTTGACAAAGGCAAGGCTATCGATCACAACTATTACATTGAAAATTGTCTCAAACCAGTTATCAATGAAATACGAAAACAAGAAAAATTATCAGGCACAAAAGGTATCAAATTGCTTCATGATAATGGCAGTTCTCATACTCATCGGGATGTTATTGACTATTTAACAGAAGAAGGTATTGAGATAATGCCACATCCACCATACTCACCTGACCTTGTACCCTGTGACTTTTGGCTCAATGATTACATCAAGAGAAATGTAACTGACCAAGAAAACGAAGAATTACCAGCTCGAGCAGTTTGCGAGATAGCGAACAATATTCCAGAAAAAGAGTTTAAAAAAACTTTTGACAAACTATTAGAAAGAATGGAGCTTTGTATAAATAATAATGGTGACTATTTTGAACATTTATTAAAATAAAACTAAACATAGCTTTTTCTTTATATATTTTTATTTGATATTATCAAAACCTCTGGTAAATCCTAAATATATTCGAATCCTGAACGAGCAATGTTCACATATTCATTTTATCAGAGACTTTATCTATAAGACTGCTAGAATTATAGGCGAGATATTTTACTATGTATTCATGCAATAAATCTTTCGATATTAAGTATTTTATAAAAAGTTAAACATCGTTCTACGAACTTTTGGTCAGCCCTAAGTACAATAAAGAATACTATTTCACTATTTTTTAAATTGAAAGAAGCTCATAAATAAAGAATACGAAAAAATATCTAAAACAGTTTTCAAATATCAAATACCAAAGTCGAAACGAGAAAAATCTGAGCTAACTTGATGATATTACAGTTTCACCACATATATAGCATGTTGAGGGCATCGTGTTCTTATGCGCCAAGTTTATACTTTTATATTATCGGGATCAGCAGCGGGTACTTCCGCTAGTGTTATCTATATATTATTCTCATTTGATTGTCATATGTATCGGTTTATAGATGACAGCTTATTATCTCACTCTCTTCTGCTTATTTTAACTTATCTTATATTTTGAATCTAATTCATTATCTCACCAAGTGACATTTAATCTTTAGTGTGGTAGTTAGATATTTTTGTATTAATACGCCTCTGTATTTTTCCGAGTACTATATAAAGGACGAGAAAAATACAGTAACGGCACGATTTCTTATAAAGAATAAATATACATATACAAGCATATATTCTTGTACAACTCTATACGAACTCAGAAATCGTCACAAATATCATATCTATTCAATAACAATAATAAAAAAATCCTAATAAAACAAATCGGATCATATCCATTTTATATAAACATCATTTTTAATTTGTTCATTAATAAAATCATAAAGTAATTTATTTTCTTTAATTATTTTCTTTAAATATTCGATTATATCATTGTCAATGTTTGATATAGCAAATGATAATAATCGAAAGTTAAACTCTTTTGATGAAAAGGTGAAATGATCTACCCTTATGCGTAC